GTGCCTGCGATGCCTGTTCAAGTGCCATTGCCTCTCGATCACCGGGAACGTGAACAGCAGTTGAAGCACATATCCCCTCTCTCTGGTTTGGAAGATATAGGTGTTGCTGTTGAGTCCGATGAAAAGTGTCACAACATTCTTGAGCAAGTTCTTGATGTTGAAAATCTCATCGCACATTCCCTAGGACAAGTCACAGAGAAGAAGGATCCTGAGATCACCGCAATGGTGACCAGACTCTTGTCACGTGCCGAAATGTTGGCTTCCCCGGAAGCTCTTGAAGCCGTTCGACTTGAAGCCACAGGCCTGGAGAAAGCCGGTGCTTGGGATCTAAATTCAGTCCGAGAGTATGATCAAGTCGCTGCTGAGGCGCGACGATCCAGTATAAAAGTTCATTTCGGGCAGTTGATGTCGCTAGCATCCGTCAAGTTCGCCGAACTCGCGAAACACCTTCAGAAGATGAAAGGTAGGATTGTGTATCGCGGAGACTGTGCGAAAGACGAACATGGCGCAGCAGCTGTCTACCAAGAGTTGGGAGCAAATCCCACGAGCGTACAAGGTCTTAATAACTGTCTCGCTTATGGATCCCTGCCAGGGAATTCCACCACAACAGCGGACGCTATAAAGGCTTATGTGCAAGCACTGCTGAAGTCCAAGTACCAAACTTGGATCACACTCCCGCCTGAGCTCCGGCCAAGGTGGTGGCGCGAGCGTTTCGTGAAACCTGTGGTTTTGCTCGTTAAAGCTCTTTATGGGCATCCTGACGCTGGCGGACTCTGGGAGGCACACCTCAAAGGGTTCATTAGTGAACTTGGAGGGCGTGAGGTCGCAGAGTTTCCTGGAAACTTCTGGTTCAAGGAGTCCGGGTTACTTCTCTCGACATACGTCGACGACTTGACGTTGGCCGGCCCCAGCCACCTTCATAAAGACTTCTGGGAAAAGTTAACAAGACTGGTTGATATAGAACCCCCAGAAGACATATATCGGGTGCTAGGCAGGAACCACCTTTTGATAGATGCTCCAAAGGACCCAACTGAACCCGATCTTAATGCCGCAATGGGCAGATTGAAAGGGGGCATGGCGTTCGACATGCGGGATTATGCCCGTCAGACGGTGGCATTGTATCTTGAGGTTGCACAGCTGAAAAGTGAAAAGCTGCGCGATGCCACCACTCCATTCTGTCCCGCTGGATCCCTAGATCCTGCAGATGACGCCTTGGAGGGTGAGCTCGGCTTTGCCGCTTGCCGCGTGTTGATGAAAGCCTTATGGCTCGGCCGTTTGGCACGCCCAGACCTGGTCAAGCCCATTGGCGACCTTGCCTCATTTGTTCAAAAATGGTCTAGAAACTGCGATAAGCAGCTACATAGGCTTGTTTGCTACATAAACAGCACGGTCAACAGCACGCTAGTAGGCACAGTTCAAGATTCGACTGAGGATTTGCATCTGTCTCTTTATGTAGACGCCGATTTCGCCGGAGAGCGAGATGCAAAATCCACGTCCGGAGGATTCTTGATTTTGAGTGGTCCGCACACGCATTTTCCGCTTGCGTGGGTATCCAAAAGGCAGACATCGGTCTCTCGATCAACGACCGAGGCGGAGATTGTATCTCTCGCATACTCCCTTTATCAGGAAGCGCTCCCTGCGCTAAGCTTGTGGGAGCTGATCTTGGACCGACCATTCCATCTCAAGATCCACGAGGACAACCAGGCGACTATCCTCGTAGCAAGGAAAGGTTTCTCATCCAAGCTACGCTGTGTCCAGCGAACACACAAGGTGAACCTCGCGTGCATCGCAGAGCAGCTTGAAAGCGAACACATCTCGATAGAATACGTCCAAACCGACATGCAGTCAGCGGACATCTTCACGAAAGCACTTCCACCCAACAAGTGGGACCATGCCATCCGGTTGCTCGGCATTCGTGTTGACCTTCCAGAGAAGCTTGAAGACGTTCGTGAAAGTAGAGCCGCTAAAGCAGCTGCCTAGTGCGCTGCAGCATGTCCGCAAATTTCCAAAAGTGTGCAAAGTGCCTGGGTGATGCTTGAATAACTTGTGTCAGTCTTTGTGGTGTAAACTTGACTTCAAGTTGGCGTGGTAATGCGCCCAAGACACTCCCTCAGTGCCGTCAATGAGGGGGGAGTCAATTATCACGATGACATTTATGGCCCAGAGGTACATGAGGTAGGTTCTCATGTAGTCAGTTGCATGTTGTACATTCAAGTGGTTGCCAAAGCATGATCCAATCACTGCTTTGGCTCAAGTGCTGAAAACAGCGCGTTGCACCGCGCTAGCCCCAAGGTTAAGGGAGAGGTCGCAGTCACGGAGGGGTTCGTTCCTTTTAAGGTCCCGGGTTCCCCCGTTGTTGACAAAACTGTGTTTCCCTCTCCTTTGAGTATCTCAATGGCAATATACTGGGGCCAGCTCAACCTCAAAACGGTGTCCTTTTTAGGTTAGCGTTGTATGCCCCGCTTGCCAGAAAAACCCATCTATTTTTTTCCAAACGGTCACCTATGCAAAGGGGACTTTGCTCTATGCCTACATTTTCCCGATCTCTCACGCTTCGAAGCATGCCTGCCTGGGTTTGAGTCTGCTTCTATCAGGCAACCATTGAGGGTCTCCTGGGAGAGTTAAGCATGGCCCAACTATGGCCTTGCTAAGGCTCACTCAAGCCTGTGCAAAACTTTATTCAGGCTTCCTGACCGTGGGTTGAGGCAAATGTCGAAGGCTCTGCCAAAAGCAGGTGGTCAATGTAACCAGTTTCCAGAAATGGGTAAGGTAACAACGAGTGACCCCCCCTTTTGACCTCATTTCCGGAGGAAACCAGCATGAAGCCAACAAATTCCAGGTGCGCTTAAATCTTACACCCAGGTACAATCCGCTTGCAGCATATTGCCTGAGCATTCTTGCGACAAAGCCCAAGAAGGAAGCCAAACACATGGGAGGTGTTCGATATTTTACAGATCCCAAATATAACACCTGGCATGCCGCGGATGGGAACGCTCTTAATGCGTCCAGATCCCCTATGAGCACCCACCGGGACTTTGATACACACGTCGCAAGTCGCAACTGCAGGGAGCAGCTGCGTGACCAACACATGTAGGGTCGGGGATCTTGGCCATTCTGGCTGTCACACCAAAAGAAGGACTCCCTGTTCGGGCTCGTTCTAAAGAACATCAGCTTCCAAAGCTGAAATAAGCACTTGAGGATTGTTAGAACCAGCCCCCCCTATGAGCTTATTGGGGATGATGCTGACAGAGACCAAATACTATAAGAGCCGAAATAATTAGCAAAGGCTTGCGAGGTACTCGAAATCAATTAAGTGATGGCACGTGATGAGTATAGGCAGGAATCAGATATTAGTACTTCATGATTTCACACCTCACATTTTTGCGGGACGACTGGGTTACCAGCCCTTGTGCTTTTCTTTTTGGCAGAGTATCTTGTATGGTATGGTAGGGGTTTTGAGAAATCTCACTCAGTTTCTGGTTGGGAGCAGCGGCAATTTACATTTTGAAGAGTGTCCGCTCTCTCGTTTTGACACTGCGGCCTTCTCACTCCACAACTGGCCTCCCCCTTTTCATCTCCTTCTGCCAAAAGTGGAGCATAAAAAAAGGTATTCCTATTTTTCCTCATTTCCACTTGAGAGGGGTAAGGATGCTTACTTTCCCCGCCAAGACACGTGGGAAGTGAGTCGCTTTGTCCATCCACAGCCGTAGATGCGTAGATGGCGGTTATCTTCAGGCCTCATGTTGTGAGCACGGGTCTTGATCCCGCCGCTTTGCCATTAGGCCTTTTAGCCAACTGCAACGACGTCAGAAGGGTTGCGACGTCACCCATGAAGGTTTCTTTCATAGGGATCCCCTATTGTGGGGTGGTGAGTTTAATCATTTTCCCCAAACCATTGTAGGGTTCAGCTCAACATCTGTTGGTACTCGGACCTAAGCAAAGAGGTAGAACTATGGCACATTTCAGCAGCTCTGTTGCTGGCAATTTGCTGTCTGTTGTGGGTTTTCAGGTGCACTGGACGGGTGGGCCACTCAAGTTTCCCAAAAAACCATCCTGGTACCCTTAATGTTCCCATGTCCAGTGGGAAACAAGTAGATCCACAAACGCAGCATCCAAATGTTTCCTGGAAGGGGCTGAATAATTACGAACATGGCGTTTCATAGTCATGACTTAACTTAGTTTATGGTACCCCAAACCGCTCCCCATCCTGATTATTTAGCCCCTCATTGGTTTTGTTCGTTGCTGTGTTGTTTTTGTCAACAGCCCCCATGAGGACATGCTGGACCTTGGTGATCCTATCAGCCGGAGGCATGGTGGGATGGCACTGTCCAGACCTGCTCTTTCGGCGAGGGCCCTTTGAGAGAGCCACAAAAGAAACCCCAAAGTCTGACTGCCTGTTGCCCACGTTTTGGTGGGAGCCCCTGCAGTTTTACTGACAAGTGGGTTAATGCTAGCGTCAAAAGGAATTATTCTGCATGGGCTCTGTGTGTAGGGAGAGGATCAAAGAGGGACCCAGCAAAGAAAGTTCAAAGGCTTTTTTTGGAAGGTAACCGTCCGCGAGTGTTGATGCTGTGCTTCTTGCACTTAAAGTGCTACACGCGACGCTGGCTTGCTCATTGGTTGGATCGATGTGTCCTTTGCACCTCTTGACAAGCGACGGCTTCCCCACTAATAGGAACACTGGATGAATAAACCCCTGGTTGATTTACATGCAGGTATGCCATGTAAAAGGGGAACACTCACTTTTGCGGTTGAACACGCCCCTTTTACTCGCCCTGATCCATCCAAATTGGACCCTACCCGAGCTTCGTAGGGCCCGAGCCGTTGGTCAACGACTGGGTATGGAGTCCTAGGGTTGTTTGTAACGCAATGTTTAGCTTCCAAAATCACAAGAGGATTGACGCAGGCATCCGCCCATTTAGGGCAAAATGCAGATTCTTAGCCCATGTTGCTGTTTCGCTGTATAGTACGTCTGTACCTGTCTCCAGGACCCTCATAAAATGGAGTGGGTTTGAAGAGCACCGGATTGTTGAAGACTCCGCCTGGTTGTTCCTTCATTTTCTCTTTTGGACCTTCAAAGGTGGCAATTCTGTTGGACACCGCGAGTCATGTCTAGGTCCCCAGTAGTGCCCTTTTATCCTTTTTCGGGGGAGGGCTCCCCTACTAAAATAGACTACAGAAAAAAAGGTGCCCTTATTCTAACCTCTCTATTGGAGGACCTAGATGTGCAACTTTTACGGGGCAATTCCAGTGACCCCGGTCTGCCGGGTCCCTGAGAAACGCCAGGCTGGCCACGGGCGCGCTGAGCCAACTGGGCCAGGCGGAAGCGCTGCAACACTGCCAGGCCGACCTGAATCCGTCCGCGCGCGTTTTCTTTTTTGTTTTATTTTACTTTTTCTGTGTGGGTGTTGTGTGTGTGTGTGTGTTGTTGTTTGTTTTGTTGGTTGTTGTTCTTTTTTGGGGGGCTTTGGGGAGCAAGCAGATGAGGGGTGATACAAGGGCCTGAATAAGTCATTGGAATGCGGTTCTGGGGTATGTAACAACCCTATGTCATGATCATAATATTTTAAGATACGGTGTGTGATTATTTAGCCATCCGTTCCCGCGCGGAAGCTTTAAAAGGCCCCTCAACAGAATAGGGAGGGTGCAGCTGAAGTACCAGAATGCATCCATTCACTCTTTCCCAGTTGCCCAGTGACCCTGGTGGCAAAAGAATTGGAAACCCTTGGGTTTGACCATCAACCTTCAAGTCGACTAATTGCCCCTTACATGTTGGGCCTTTGGGTCCCAGCGTAGTCTTGAATTTCGGATCCCTGGCGACCAAGTGGATGTTATACTATTTCCAGGTCCCCACACCGGGTGTTGCACTATTCGCCCAGCCAGCAGAAAAGGAAGCAAACAAAGCCCTGGCCGGGCCCATCCCTTTTTTCTTGTTTTTGGACGGGTGTCCCTTTAAAATCAAGTACCACACAAAATAGCGCCTTATTGCCAGAAACTGAACCTTTGGGATTTACGCCTGGTATTTGTTGATGTTGCTACGAGTCAGTTGTGGCGAAGCCTACGTATGGCACAGGGAACTATGTTGGCGTTTGCAATGTGCAGCTCGGGGAGGGACCTGAGGGACCCTGTTACCTATGCAACGATGGCAAGTGTCGGGTTGATCTATATTTCTGGCCCCAAATTGACCATCTGTAACTTTCCAATTTATTGGGAAATATCATTTTTGGTGATCTTTGTTGTGGTTTTCCCCAATGGTCTTTCCATGTGTAGGACCTGTGGATCCAATTGTTACAGAGCTGCTTCTACAGGAAAGGCTTATACCTGCAATATACGGGGTGCAGCCAAGAAAGCCAAAAAAACTAGTTTGGCTTCATGTTGTTCTATTGGAATGTCCTTTTGACATCCTCCCAGAGAAGGAGTGCCGGTCTGGTGAAGTGTCATCAGGTGTCACGCGCGTTTCCTTTTGAAGCCACAACATGTGGGAAGCCGATCCGTTTACTTGCTGTTGCTCTAAATTGCGGTGTCAGGTGCTAGATAACCTTTTTGTCGTCTTTAAAGGAATCTCCTAGTGTCCCAGACTGCCGTTCAGATCTTTCTTGGGTTATGAAGTTGATCCCCTTTGTAGTGTGTTCACACGGATTATGAAAACATGCGACCACCTAAGCAATGTGTACGAAGAGGGGTGGGGGCCTCGCATGACCCTGCCCCATTTGCAGCCTTCAGCGCAACCACCTGGGTCCCTCAAAGTGAAATGCAATGTTCGGGCTCTCAAAGTTATAATTGGGAGGGGGGACCGGTTTCCCCTTACAAAACTCGGGAGAGCCACGTTCTTTTGGGGTCCCAAGCCCCAAGCCTCTTGGCAGCCTTTCCATTTTAAGCCAACGGATGGCAGTGTCCACGCGAACCCAACGGATGGAAGTGTCTACGCGCTGTCTGCTTGGTCAGGACTTCGTGGCAGCACTGAAGGAGCATGAGAGATCCGATGGAGCCCAAAGCGGGTATCCCAAAGCAGGTGTGTTGGTTAGGATGTTCCAAGAGGCGATACTGTTTCAGGTGGGAAACCAAAAAGACACCAAACACATTCTTGGGGGCGCCCTACTTTGACACACAAACGACTTCTCGTTTTGAATAAGGTTCACTACATGTGGGCCAGAATCTAAAGAGGCCATTCTGAGTGTTTTGACCAGTTTTGGAGGCTACTTTGTCATGACTGTGCCCATTTGGTCATGTAGCCCGCACCCCTTGCCCCCCCCCCCCCCCCGCGGAAATTGCTAATGATGGTCCAAAGACTTCGTTTCTGGGGGTTGGTAGGGATGGTGCATCTCTGGGGGTTTTAGCCAACAGGTTCTAGGAACCATGGCGATTGCCGGAAGGAGCTTTTTGACTACACACATGAGTCCCAATCATTGCCAGACTTGCGATGCTCGTTTTGGGTTACCCGAGCAAAGGGTCACTCCGGGCGCTCGATGTGTAGTCGTCACGTGCCAAATAGTGGATTGCTATGGATTGCTAGTTTCTTAATCCATAGGTTGGTCATATTATATATGTTTCCCCTCAGCGAAGGTTTGGGATGCAATTGCGGCCATGGACCCCATTTCCTCTGTTGTCTTTTCGGGGCGGAGGAGGGTTCCCTTTTAAAATCAATCAACCATGGAAGCCGTGGCCACCATCCCCACTTGCCAAGCCCCATCCTTCCGTCAAAAGACGGGGGTTCGGACCAAAGTGGCTGCTCCTATGTTCATCCTTTGGCGAAACCAGAAAGGGGGGGAATGGGGGACGGATCTGAAGAACAACGTATAATCACGTGTCCGAAAGGTCTACTTTAGACTTGTACATGTCTCAGAAGCTATGCCACCAAGAAATTACCCGAACTGGCCAAATGGTGACCTTGACCAGCAATCGCCATGTTTTGGAATTTTCAATAACAGCTTTTCAACATTTGGGTCAGACTACGCAAAAGGCTATGGTCCCGGGGTTTGGCTCAGTAGGCTTTGGGATTCCCATTCCAGGACCAACAGCAAAGTTAGGCTGGCTTGGAAGGGAAACAAAGATCAACCAACTATAAAAAGGGGCTTCCTCCAGTTGCAGAAACCAACCACTTGGGCAAATCACACGGAGCTCTGAGGATAACACGAGGGTCCCCCATGGCCCCTTGGCTCTTGTCCGCCCTCCAGGATCAAGACCGAGGAGTCCGATACTGTGCCGCCAGCTCAGCCGGAAATCCGATCCCTGCACGGTACCGGTTTGTTTGGACGGGTTCCAACTGCAAATGGTCAAACCCCAAGAAGGAAGTTCCGATTTGTTTTCTACTGGACAACTAGGATAGCTCCAGAAAAGAGAGGTCGGTCGGATCCAAGCGAAACAGGAAGTAGAACTTAGCTTGTCCTTGGCTCGTCTACGACTTCTTTCCCAGACCCCAAACCTTTTGGAAAGAAACATGTGTCATTTAACCGTAGGAAGTGAGCTTTGGTCAGTTGGCATATTCAACTGTTGTCCCTGTGGGTGTTGACCTTAAGTGGTTGCTTCTCACTCAAAGGTACGAGTTTGGTATTTTGTTTCCACGACGCCCAAAGGCATGATCAAGGAGTAGCTGAGAGGGGTCCCGGAACTTGTGAGCAAGCAACTGGCCCTTTGGCATCAACCTGTGTACTTGGTCTTGTCCACTAGCGTGGGGAGGAAAACGTGCATGTTCGTTGGTTCAATGCCTGGAGGTTGGTGAAAGGGCGGGAAGAGCAAGCCACGTTGCGGCGTGTGGTGGGGGCAGGGGGTTGGCACTAGCAAGTTCACAAATCACGCCTTGCAGACGCGACACTCACTTACCCTAGCTTGTGCATAGATCAAAGGTCACCCTGGATAGGGCAAGGGGCGGTGGCACCTAAATCCTTTAGACAAGGTATCTTGACCCAGTCTTCATTCTTGCTGTGGCCCCTATCGTTGTTTCCGCCTGTCACGCAGTATGAGGTTTTCGGTAGACTCTACATGGGACTAGCTGTTTGGGACTCGTCAGCACAAGATGCTCGCGCAATGAGTTGCTTTGTGCGGCCTTTGTTCCAGACACATTTGAAACTGCAGTCCTCAAGGCAGTTTCATTGGCTTCCGCAATGAATCATCCGGGCCCCGAAGGAATGCGGCTTAGATCTTGTCTAAACGGTTGCGGAACAATGGAGACAATGGATTTGGAATCTGTTTGAAATCACATCAGCTGTTGTCATTTCGGATCTCCTCATTTTGGCCAAGCAAGCGAGCGAGCAACTGGTGATTCCAAACAAAAATCATGGTTCCATCCGGCTACATTGCTTTTGAATTCACACCTGTCGAAGTGACATTCTTGGGGCCCCAGAGTTGTGTTTTTGCGATTCCCGCCTGGGGCCAGAAGTGATGTTTGCTTTGGATTCCAGCCTGCGGCCGGAAACATGCTGTTGTGTTGTTGGATTCACGCCTGGGGCCGGAAACAAGTCAGAACCAGACTCTCAAGGAAGCGCCGTGTGCGGCCCCAGGCCTGAATACAACAAGGAACACCAGGCCCTCGAGGAAGCCTTGTTTCTGGCCTCATGCGAGAATCCAACCAAGCACCAGGCCCTCGAGCGATGAGCCCCGAGAATGCGGACTCAAAATATGAAAAATCATGTTGAAACGCAGAGCCGCCTGACTGATTGTGAATGCAGCACTCTCCTTCTCAAGGCCATGGTCTACCTGTGCTTCGCACGCAGCTTCTCAGGCTTGGGAAACCCGACATGATTTTGCCTGGAGAGACTGTTTCGTTGAAGATCCCAATCCACTTGTCCAACGCACTTGCTTCTCTTGTCCTAATTGGTCCTTCCTGGCTAATTGCCTCTTGCGAGCTACATGCGGAGAAACCTGGATATCGACAAGGAAAAGAGCAGACAGATGGGCTGAAGATAATTTGGATGCAAAGATGGAGCACATTGTCAGCAACTGCCACTCATCTCTCAGCCAAGGTGTTGTAGTCAGGCATGTTGAAAACACACGGGGATTCGCGAACTCTTCCAGAGTTGAATCGGCTGGTTTACACTTCGCAGCTGCTTTTTGTTTTGGCCCTGGCAGTCCTTTTTGAGGGCAGCTTGTTTGGGGCTGCTTTAAAAGGAAACCAAAGGGAGACAAAGACAAGCCCAAGGGCACCATGGCTCCCCCCACATTTTGAGACCCTATATTCAGATACAATCCGTTACATGAAGACACTCCCAGCCATCCGGTTCCTTTGCTTTTTGGGTTTTTAGTTGGTTTAGGTGGGGATTTCCATTTAGCCCACTAAAAGTTGTTCTTTTTCTGGGGATCTGACGACGGCCCAGTGTTAGCGGAAGTTTTTCGTATCAAACAGCTCAGATTCGGGGTCAACGCATGTGAGATGTCGGCAGGGCCCTCTCCAGTGCAAGAGTACACGGCGGAGGTGGCTGAGCTGCTGGAGGACAAGCAAAGTTCCAGATGAATAAACCCCTGGTTGATTGACAGGGGGGCGTTTTAGTGGGGATTCATCTTTTGGAGGGGACCTCCCTCATATTAGCAAGGAGGTGTTTATTATTCCAGGGTCAACATCATGACTCAATTTAGGAGGCAGGCTGAAACAGAGGATTCCGTAGATTCCAGTGTGTTTCCCTTTTTGTTTGGCGAGTTCTCCACCAAAGTCATTAAAACACAGTCAACCCCGGGGTCCCAAAACAGGAAACCTGATCGGAAGCTTTTCGAGGACCTCCCGGTCCGCTTATCCGGCTAGGGCAACGAACCGTGCGAGATCTTTTAGGAAGCTAGGAAGCCACAGGTTGGATTGAAAAATGGATCATTCACTCATTCCCTACTGAGAACTGGCAGGTTCAGCGTCGCCAATTCTGTTTTCCTGTCCATTTGGTGGATAACCATAGGACCCAAAAATTCCAAGCCTTGTTCTCCTAGGGTCGCTGGGCGTCTAGCAACAGATCTTGGCAACCACATGATTGTCAGCCTTCGACTACCCGTGGCCGCCGCGCGTGAAGGCCAATTTGTTTGAATTGAAGGAACTTCCAGCAGACCGCTGGGACAAGAACGAAACCCTATATAACTAGTTGTTCTTTGACTCAGGCCTGCATGACTTGGGGTGCGTAAAGTTGTTGCCGCAGCTTTTGGCTGTCTCATTCTGGTCTAGTTTCAGCCAAACCCAAATGTTGTCCCTTTGTTGGAAGGGGGGGCTACAATCGCCGCAGAAAAGGAGAACGTGGGACTACCACCAAGAACCCAGACCTCCAGTTGCTGGGTCGACTCCGTCAGGGGCATCCGATCTTGTCTCATGCAGCTTGGGAGATGTCCTTGGACTGATTTTTGCGTGGGTTTGGGTTGAGCTTCGGGGAGCATTATACAAAAGAAACAAGTTGCTGAACAGGAATTGGGGTAGGGACTTTCTTTGATCAGGGTTGCCAAGTTTCTACCCTTGTCGATTGGAGGCAACCCGGCCTCGCACAATGAGCTTGCTCAGCTTTCAAGGGAGCCTTTCATGGCCTGTCTCTGTTCTAAGACTCACGTCAGTCATTCCTCTTGCTTTCGCGTGTCGTGTTCGCGGGGTTGCGCGCCGCACTACAAAACTTGCCCCCTTTTTGAGCTTTTGCTGTGGAAACAAACAGAAGTTTCACCTTTTTCTCCAGGACGAAGATCCTGGGATTCGATTCTGGGCCATTGAGGCACGAGCTTTGCTGGGCTAGGCGTTGGGTCTGTCTCAAGATGGTGTGGACGGACAAAATGGGAAACCATAATTTCTTGGCTTTACAGGGGAACCATCATTCCAGGGTTTCTTAGGTGGTGCTGGATTTCGTCCATCCACAGTGCGGAACCCTCGTTGGGGGGTTTAAAGGACAGGCAAAAGCAAGCCCACCAAGTTGGGGGGGGGGTTCTATTTTGAGAAGGAGCCATTTGGTGCACTTTGTCCTTTGCAGTGATTTTCCTCTCAGGATTATGGATTGCCCAAGCCTTCATTTGTAAGAGCCGAAGGTGATTGACAAAAAAAAACCGTCCCCCATCCGCTACCTTTCCGAAATCCACCATGATTATGCACACAGACACCCACTATTGCGAATGAAGCATAAGGACCAATAAGAAAGCTAAGGTTGTAAAGTACTTCAAACCAAATCAAGCCGTGATTATAGGATGAGATCCTTACATGCGTCTTCCAATCGGGTTTTGCCGAGCCATGGGTCAGTGGAGCATGACTCAAAGGCTTTGGCTGATCTTTCTGGTGCGAGAGGTAGGGAACGAGTTGGAATGAACCTAGGCTTTGGTCCCCTTAAAGGAAAGCACCAGTTGGATGGTTTGTACGGGTCATTCCATCGTTCATTCCCTGCTGAGCACCAGCAAGTGATTAGCCCTAGTGCTGCAGGGGAAAATATCCATGACGACCTCCATCCGTTGTCGGCTTGCAACGCTATGGACCATGGTTCAACAACGACCATGTGCGCCTTGGTGACAACACCGGTTTACTTGGATGGTGGGGATGGCCATGAACTTCACGCGGAATTTTAGGCCATCGCAAGGATGCTGTTGGGATGATGAAACACAGAGTTGGAGTTTGGACCATGGCGCGCGAACATGGCTAAATGCCACCCTGCACACAGGGCATGTTTGATGCAAACATATTTGCGGGCTGATCGGGTGTCGGGTTCATCCAACCCAAGGAGCATGAGCATGCCACCCGCAAAGATTTTGTGCCTGCTCCCTTTGCCCGGAAGGGTCTGTCTTCTTCGAGGGTACCATATTCAGGTTGGTTGAAAGAGAGAAGCCAACCAGAAAGTCACATTTTTGTGGGGGAGGGGTTCCCTATTTTGAGACACTCGGATATGGCTTCTGAAGACAACGATACGAGAATACTTGGAGGAATTTGCCTTGGAATTGCCTCTCCAGTCGGGTGACAACCACCCAAGCCGCGAGTGAATGGCCAGTGGGCTGTGGCGACCATAACCCAAGACCAAGTCACCTACTTGTGGTCTGGCGATTTGACTTACGCAAAGGGGTGAAATTAAAGAAATCCCTTGGCCAAATACCAAGTTGAAGAATTTGGTCATCTTTTAAGTGGCCAGATGGAAGCCTCCCAGTACTCCTATGGCCTATGGTTTTCAAAGGCACCGCATTTGTGGAATCTCCCAGGAGATTATCAAGCAGTTCTGAAGCGAGAGCTCATACATAGGGGCTTCTGAAATGGCGGACCCCTTTTTTGGCTGGTTTAAACGGCAACCCAAAAAGAAAACAAACATTATAATGGGTTCCCAAGCCCAATTCAACGTTCGACCACAGGCAACCAAGTTTGTCTTCCAGCCTCCAAGACCATGGCTGCCTCCTGAGTTTTTTGCAAAGGGTCGGAGACAGGCGCCCAAAAGCGCCCAAGGGGTCCCCGGAACCCTGGCCCAAAAGTGGGTTTCTTGTTTCCTTTCAAGCCAATAGCATCTTACGATACCTCCACAGCACACACTCAACTTTGGCATTTGGCCCGATACCCTCCCAACAATTACTGTGGAACCTGACGGGGGGATCCTGGAAGACCATTTTCCTTTTAAAGGCCTCCCCGTCAGGTTCCATTTGAATAGGGTCGGAGGCTATTTGGCCACACAAATCCTT